TGCCTTAAGGGCAGGTATGGTGCTGTTTGTGGAGCTCGGATCAATCGGTCCCTGTGCCTGACTGTGTTTCCCCAAGCAGTGCTTTAAATGACTGAGCTAATTTGCAAGCCCCCCAGGTTACACACTTGGAGAGCAACTGGGATTTAGGACCACGTGCAGGAAATTCATGTGATTTATGTTTTCTGTATTTTCAAAACTTGTCTCTATGATCCCGTTTTACTTTCATAAATAAGAGAATCATTTACTGGGCTGGAGATGAAGCTCAGTGGTAGAGCGCTTACCTGGCATGTCTGAGGCCCTGGTGCAACCCCCTACCCAGCACCATACACAAAAAGGAAAAGTTAACTGACTGAAAGTTACTGAAATTTCCAGTTCCTCCAAGTGGCCCCAGTACTCGGGGTGATTCCATATGACAAAGGTCACCTTCCATAATCTAAATGTCATATATCTGCTAACACTTTCATATTAGAGCTGTAATTTGTATGTCCCATTGGGTGGCATAGAGCAGTCCCAATGGGCAGTACGAGCTGCTTGATAGGCCAGCCACACAGGTACCACTGGTGGTTGAAGCCAGTGGGGAAGTGTTACTATAGCCCAGCCTCATGACCTTGGATTTTACTTGCATTTTTCCCTGCCTCATGCTAAGCTTGAGGCCTACTCAGACCACCACATCCTCCCCATTAGCAGTCTGACTGCAGGAGGAATAAGCACGACACTGGAAAGTGGCATGGCTGAGGGCTAAGTGCAGGCCTGCATGGCCTAGGTTGGCTGGGGGTTTGCCATCTGCTAGTACTTCCTGGGTGCTGCTTCCTTCATGCTGCCTTACTCCAGCAGCTAGGCTGGCCCCTGTTCCCCTCACTTCCTCATTTCTCCAGCTGATTGATGATGGTGCCTCCCCGTTTTCCACTTCCGGGTCTTCCAGGTGTGGGCTGGGAATCTGTGGATTTAGGAATGGTGTGGGGGATATTGGTGCAGTGACTTCCTCTGCTGCTGACAGGCAGAGTCATCCACTTTGGGAGTGCTGCTGAGTGTAAGCCCAGGAGAGAGGCGGGGTGGCCAGTAGGGACTCAGCTCTTCCATTGACAACCAAGTGAGACAGTGCCTGTGGGGTTGAGAGAAGCTATTTGTCACCTCTGTCTTCCTCTCCTGTGTGCAGATCTGTCTGAGAAATGGTCCCCAGAGCCAAGCAGATGAGTGTGCAGACCTTGGGCAGATTTCATGCTGCCAAGAAGTGGCCCACAGGCTACAGCAAAGCCCTGTCCCCAAATTATGCCCCAGGCCTTTCCTCTTCATGAGGGTACTCCAAGCTGACTCCCTAGAACCACACCAGGCCCTTACCCTGAGGACAAATGTGAAGGTGGCACCCCTTGCTTGTTTTCTTCCCCACCTCCAGTTCACTAAGGGTGGGGTGAGAGATGTAGGGACAGCCAGCAGTGCATGGGGCATCCCTTCCTTGTGTGGGAAGTGTGAGGAACAGGAAGCCTGAGTGCTGTGGTTTGGTTTGGTTTGGTTTTCTTTGGAGTCTGAGACAGACCACACGGAGTCCAGACTGCCCTCACCCTTGCTATCCTCCTGCCTCAGGTTCCAGAGCGCTGGGATTACAGACATGTGCCGTCACACCTGGTACCTTTTCTTTGGGGACAGGGACTTCGCCAGTTGGGGCTTCTAGCTCTCCAGACCTGGTCCCCTCTTCAGAGCAGTCTAAGTTTTGGGACCCCCACTTCATGCCTCAGTTATGTCAGTGCCAGTCTCCAGTCTTGGGTGCTTTCTCTGGCAAGTCCTCATCCCCTTTTTATTTTTCTTTTGAATTTATTTATTTTCTCATCCCTTCAGAATCAAGTTTGTATTCTTATTGTACAGTCTTATTTAAGTCAGTCAGCCACACTAGGCTAGGCCTTGTGCTTCCCATTTGGGTCTCAGTTCGGACATGTTAGGAGATGACTGTGCCTTTCTCCTCCCCACTTACATGGGGTGTCTGATAATTACTTCACCTCAGTTCTTCTCTTTGTCTTTCACTAATTAGCATTCATTCATTTGTTCAGGTAATCTCGGTTGGGAGCCTGCAGGCTGCTAAACCATGCGAGTGGTTGGGGTCTGGGCAGGTGCAGCGGCCTCCCAATCTCTCACAGTCATGGGAGGCACACTTAAAGAATTGCAGATGTGTGAATCACTACAAAGGAGAAGTAAGGGGCAGCTGGGAACTGGTGGCAGAGGAAGTGAGGTCACTCCACCACACACACACTGAAAACCCGAACTCAGACTGCTCCGCCCTTCATGCCCCCGTCTGGTGGCTCTGGCATGGTTTCCTCATGTTACTCTGAAGCTGCCTCAGTGTCCTTGCTGTGTCTCCACACAGTGAGTTCTTTCCTGCCTCTGAGCCGCCTTTGTGTACACCGTTCTCTGCCTAGAACAGTCTCTTCCTGGCTCTCCCTACGTGGCTATTTCCTGTACCTCTGCTTACATGTTCCCTCTTATAGAGGTGGGCTGTGTGCCATGTACCCTAACATAGGACTTCTCCTGTCACTCTGTTATGTGCCCCATGCTGCTCTCTTTAATCTTTTTTTTTTTTTTGGCGGCACCAGGGATTGAACTCAGGCCCTTGCACTTGCCAGGGAAGCACTTATTCTACTGAGCCATCTCCCCGGCCCCTCTGCTCTCTTTAATTTTATTTTTGCCTCCATTACACTTAACAGCATCTAGATTTTTAACTTTTATTATTTTAATTACTGTGTGTTTTCCTAATGAGTGTTGGAGCAGAAGACAAGGAAAGCTGGTCACCAGTTGTCCCTTTTTTTTTTTTGTGGCCTGCTCAGCCCCGCCCTGGGAGCTGGGCTGGCATGGTATGTGGTGCCCGGGATCGAACTGCAGTCCCTGCGCTTACCTAAGCAGGTGCTTTAGACTGCTGAGCCATCTCGCCAGCCCTCAACTGCCCCTTCTTGTCTCTGTGCTCAGCACAGAGCCTAGTACGTTGGCAGCACTCATACTTGTCTTGTTTCTTACTGCTGCTATGACAAATCACACATGTATAAATAGGAAGCTGTTTCAGCCTGCTGTTCATCACTGTGACAGAATATCTGAGCTAATAAAGTTAACAAGCGGAAAGATTTTCTTTATTTCACAGTTTTGATTTGTTGATCCATCCCTTAGAGCCTGTGGCAAAAAGGGACATTGTAGCAGAGGAGGCTGCTTATCTGACAGGAAGAGAAGCCAGGGTTCCAGTTTACCTTTAAAAAAGAACATATGTAGTACAAGGTCTCACTACACAGATTGGACTTGTAGTGATCTTTCCTGTTTTTCAGCCTCCCAAGTACTGGGATTACAGGTATGCACCACCATACCCAGTCTCAATCTCCCTCTCAGCAAACCCCTGGGGATGGGGCTGGCACAGCAGGCCAGAGATCAAACCCCCAGCCCCTGGGTCTGCCTAAGCAGGTGCTTTAATGTGCTGAGCTATCTGGCCAGCCCCTCCACTCTTCCTTTTGAGGATACACTGTCCAGTGACCTGACTTCCATGGGGCCCCACTTCCTAAAGGTTGTACCAACTTCCAGTAGTACCATACTCTGGTGACCAGATCTTTAGTTGATGCCTTTTGGGGGGCATTTCAGCTCTAAACCATTGCTCTAAACAGAAGCCTCCCTACAGGTTATCTCCCAATTTTGGAAGTTAAGAGTTCTGAGAATCAAGGGGCAGGGAACTACATTCCTTATGAAGGCTCTGAGGGACTCCTTTCCCTGGCCTCTTCGGCTTCTGGAGGTGGCCTCCAGTCCTTAGCTCCTGGCCCTGCCTCCATCTGCAAAGCATTTCTCTCCAACCTCTGCTTCCACCTTTGTCTTAGTTACTCTTCTCTTGTTGCTGGGACAAATACCCGACACCCAAATTGAAGGAAGGAAATGTTTGTTTAGCTCACAGTCACTGGAGGTTTCAGTCCATACTCAGCTGGCTCCAAGGCAGCCTGGCACATGGCAGAGAGCAGCCTTTCATGGTGGTGGCAAAGAGCAAGAGCAAAAAGGAGGGGTAGCAGCGGCTCAAGCAGCTAGCTTCTTTTCCCACCTTATGTTATAATGCAGATTACCTGGCCCAGGGGAGGTGCAGCATCCACACCCACAGTAATCACAAACTCCAGAAGTCACCCCAAGACTGCATGAGGCTTTAGGGGGACAACTATACACAAACCATAACAACCTTCATGGGCTTTCTTGAACTTGCCGCCCTATTATAAGGATCTGTGCCACTACACTGGGCCCACCCGCATAATCCAACATGGAAAAATGTGGTGTGTGTTTAAATTTTTAAAAATTATTATAGTGAAGAGTATGTCACCATTAACTCCCCTCAGAATATGTGCCTTTGCTTCAAACACATTTATCCCATTGGTCTTTTCTGAGGCACTTCTGGAAGTTCTCTTTGCTGAGTGTCTTTAGTTGCGTTGTCATGGCTACCTTGATATCCTGAATCCATTTAAAACATTTGCTTGTCATGGTCATTTTGACTTTGGGGAAAAGCCGCCAGAGGTCACATGGCACCAGATTCAGTGAATAAAGTGGATGAGGATACAGAGCAATGTATTTATAGATTTGCTTTCCCATTGGATGGCACAAGGCAGTAGTGTTCGCTATATTTTTAAAATTATAGCTCATAAAGATACTCATGAAAGGAGACTTTGATAACTTTCAGAAAGTAGCAAGAGTGATGGGTTGTGCTTGAAATGGGAAGGATTAATAACAACACGTCTTTTACAGTACAAATACATTTTTAAAATGTAAACACTATTTTCTTATCAGCCCATGTTATCTTCTATAGGTCCTTAACTCAGTCATATCTGTACAGTCCACTTGTGGTGTAAGGCGACACAGTCGCAGTTGTGGAAGTGGGATGGATAGTCTCAGCCCGCCATACCCAGGACCCTACGTGCTGGTTCTGCCCTGGGTGTGGCAGGTGCTCAGGCACCCTGGTCTCTGCCACGGGGCCTCGCAATTTGACCACTCTTTCTTGCCCACAGGATGAGATTGAGGAGCTTCGGGCTGAGATGCTGGAGATGCGGGATGTCTACATGGAGGAGGATGTGTACCAGTTGCAGGAGCTGCGGCAGCAGCTGGACCAGGCCAGCAAGACCTGCCGGATTCTGCAGTACCGGCTTCGCAAAGCTGAGCGCCGCAGCCTCCGTGCTGCCCAGACTGGCCAGGTGGATGGCGAGCTCATCCGTGGTCTGGAGCAGGATGTCAAGGTGAGCCTTTGGGCCTCCCTCAGCCTTCACAGGTGGCCTCACTGGGGCTGGGGCCTTGAGCCTCGCTGGAGTTCAGGTCGGACCGGTGGCCCACTCCTATGCGGAGGGCCTTAGTTTCCCTGTCTGCAAAGTGGGAATCTTTAATGAACCGACAGGCCTTTTGCCAACAACACTTGAAAGAAAGTGCTATCACCATGTGAAGACTACTAATAGCAGCTGCTGTTTATCGGGGATCAGCCGCACACCCCCTGTTGGGCTCCATATGTTCTTATGCAGTTCTGAGGCAGTTTCTTACCATGCTAACGAAAGGACTGAAAGCTTGAAGTTGGATCAGGTTAGTTCAGGCCTTAGCTCTGATATGCCCAGGTTTGTGACTTTGAGCATATTACCTGTATTTTAGTTCCTACGTCACAGGCATCTATAAAAATGAAGTGAGATCATATAGATCAAATGCCACCATAAGCACTAAAAAGCATTAGTTTTTATTATGATGTCCATTTTCTGAACAAGGTCCAGACACAGGAAGTGCCTGTCCACGGTCACAGTTGGTCCACGTGTCGGTGGCAGTCTCCTAAGCTTCCATGTCTGGCCCATTGCTCTCAGGAAATGGGGAATGTGGGGCCAGCAGGTGGGGGCTACACGACAGAAACCCACTTTGCCTGTGCGTGTAATCCCTGGTCTGGGGGCTGAGAACTCCTTGGAGACTTCAAGCCACCCTTCTACTTTCAGAACTAAGCCGAGTGAAGGTTTTAGGGTGACTTCTGTGCTGAGGCCCAGGGAGAAGTGGGCATGTGTGGGAGGATGGAGGGAACATTCTAGAAGAGAGATGGCTTCTGTGAGGGCCCAGGGGAGCCCATAGGATGGGGAATTTACACACACACACAGCTTCAGAGCACACCCCCCCCCCCTTACTTCTCCTGCTAGAAATAGAAAGCACTGACAAATTCAAGACCCAGAAGGAAATATATTGATGAAGGACTGTGAGAGCTAACTCCAGGGGGGGCAGAGCCAAGGGAAGTTGCTGTCTTGGCTGTGAAGGATCACAGGGGGTCACACAGGAGGAAGCTGACACAGAAAGAGCAACTCTCCAAGGCCAAACAGCACCTCTGTGTGAATGGGCAGGGCTGCTCCCAGGATAACTGGCTGATGTTCACATTCCAAGCACAGCTGGGCTTGTGGCTGTGCAGAATCTCTTGAGCCCCCTGAGGGTTTCAAGGCCAGCCCGAGCAGCAGAGATACAGTCTCAATTAAAAAAAAAAAAAAAAAAAAAATCCAAGCACAGGGTTGGAAGGGGCAGGAAGAGTGGGTTGTTAGAGGAGAATATGTGTTGGTGAGGCTACAGTTGAGCTGGAGAAGCCTAGGCAAAGCTTGGAAATCTCTGGGCCTGGGTCACTGAGGAGTTCTTGGAGGGACACAAAAATTCAGACTGAAGAGAGATGGAGGAGGTGGGTGGAGGATAGCCCGGGCCCCTGGCTGTGGCTGGCCCAGCCTGCCTCGGGGTGGGGCGAGAGCAGCTGATGAGGGTGTGGGGGGGGTGTGTGCGGGGGTGTGCGCACTGTAAGGGGGTGGTTCTCTGGAGTAGGGGCAAAGGGGCGGCCCCTTCTGTTGAGATTTGAACTAGCCAATCAGCATCAGCCTTGCCCCCTCCCCCTCCTCCTTCTGCCCACCCTGCATCTGCAGCTCTGAGCTCATCCTCTGGCCTCTGCCTGAACTGGCCACCTCTGGCCACCACCCTTCTCCCAGTATTGGGGTGTCCTCTGGCATTTTAGGAAGTCCTCAGAACGGCTGACTTTCCTGGCCTCGCCTACAAGGACTCCATGGCCCTTGTCATGGAGGCCCCGTATCAGTGAGATACCAGTGTTGCTGGGGAAAATATTCCTGGGTTTAATTTCTGGGTGATCTGTGCAGGCTGCCCACCTCTGGGTACCTCAGTGTTTCATCATCTATAAAATGGGGGTGACACTCCCGCCCTCCTGGGGTTCTTGCGAGAATTCAGTGACACAGCCCAGAATGCTGTGGATCAGAGTGGGGGTGCATCTTGAAGCCTGACGAGGAGCTAGCGTGCCAGGCAGCTGGGGCCCGGAGGCTGTCGCTAGTGTGTGGCAGGAGCTGGGCCGGGCACTGTAAACAGTGACCTCATGGTTGAGCGCATTTGTTTGTGCTTTGTGGATTTGCCCTGGTTTCCGGAAACCGCAGCTGCCTCCCCTCCCTTGGTATCTCAGTCCCGCTACTTTGGGGATAGCTGAGAGGATGAAATGAGACAAACTCGTAGGGCCCTGCAAGTGTGACACAGTAAGCTCACAATTTTTATAGTAATTTGATATTTCCAACCTTGGTTCCTAGAGCAGGCTCAGTCAAGAGCAAGACATTACAGATAATTTTAAATGTTGGTTTGGTAGCTTCCTAACTGTGTGACCTTGGGCAGATGACCCTTTTTAGTACAGGATCTACAGGGTCTCACTGCATAGATCGGACCCATAGTGATTCTCCTGTTTTCAGCCTCAAGCGCTGGGATTGCAGGCCAGGGATCAAACCCCGGCCATTGCGCTCTGCCTAAGCAGGCGCTTTAGTCTGCTGAGCTATCTGGTTGGCCCAAGCTTTCCTTTCTGAGCCTCAGAATAGAGACGATAATCAAGGTGCATGGTGGTGGGGAAGCAATGGAGAAATGCTACTCCATTCTGTAAATCAGCTGCGAAGTTTCAGGATCCTGGGCCATTGAGGAAGGTGCCGAGGCTGCTGCTGCCTCTTGCTCTCCAGTTTGGCAGCAGTGGTGCTCATTGCTCCCATCGGCCTCCGAGGGGGACAAAGGCTCTGTAAGACTCTGTGCTGTGGGCTCTGCTGTTCCCTTGGAATTCTGCAAGCTGCCCGGGGAAGCCTTTCTTGAGCTCATAGCCCTAGGAGTATGGAGCACACAGCAACTACAGTTCTGTGGAAAGGGACACAGAGGAAGAAGATCCAGGAGCACACTTGGATTGTTTTTTCTGGTGGGGACCTGGTAGCCTCTCCAGCTGGAGGGAGAGGTGGAGGTGGGAGAGACAGGGAGGAGCCCGTCCTCGTGGGAGCAGTTTTGGGAGAGTACATGGGGGAGCAGGTACTGCTCCCCATCTATATTCAGTCACTCCATCTCCCTCACTTTTCATTTGTTGGCACCTAGGATTTATTTGTTCATGCAGTGTGCATTTATTGGAACACAGAGATACAAATGGGCATCTCCATGTGTGATTTGGAGCCTTGACTCCGCCCCATCATTCCTGCCGCTGGTGCCAACATGACTGAGTGAATGACATGTTGATCAGGACAGAGGCTTCCTGGGTGACCTTGGGGGTTATAGTCAGAAACCTAGGGGTGAACACATCTAGCAGAAGTCCTAGAGTTGGGGTAAGGTAGATAAAATGAACACACAGCCAAACCAGTAATTTTTAGTTTTTTTATTATTTATTTATTTATTTATTTAATGAGCAGAATATATTTATTGAGAGAAAGAAAGCTCCTGTCCAAGAGAGAGACAGGAGGGGGGCCTGAGCAGATAGTTCCCCAGTAATTTTTTAAAAGGTGGGATCTTACTACACATTGCCCAAACCTGGTCTTGAGCTAATGATCCTCCTGCCTCCACCTCTTGAGTAATTGGGGTTATACGCATCCACCACTGTACCCAGCCAAAGCAGTAATCTTGACAGTGCATTAAAAATCCTTGTATTCACACTACCTTAACTTGGGGCCTTTCAGCAACCCTGCAGAGTTCTTTTTTGTTTTGTTTTTATTTTGTTTTTTGGGTTTTTTTTGGTGGAACCGGGGATTGAACTCAGATCCTTGCTTTTGCCAGTCAAGCACTTATCCTACTGAGCCATCTCCCCGGCCCCTACCCTGCATAGTTCTTAAGTATTTCACATAATAAAAAATGGGTCAGCCAAATTCATGAAACTGAAGTAAACTCAATTTTTGTAGTCTGTTGAATAGCATTAATTGTGTGTGTTTTTTTTTTGTTGTTGTTGTTGTTTTTTTTGTTTTTTGGTGGAACCGGGGATTGAACGCAGGCCCTTGCGCTTGCCAGGGAATCGCTTATTCCATTGAGCCATCTCCCCGGCCCCAGCATAAATTGTTTAAAACAACAACAGAGCTGGGGATATAGCTCAGTGGTATAGGTGCCTGCCTGGCAAGTAAAAGGTCCCAAGTTTGAGCCCTGGTACTACAAAATAAATAAATAACAGTAATGACAGAAAACACTCATTTTTTTAGTGCACTCTATGTCCCAGCCACCCACTCAAACATTATCCTCACAGCAGCCCTCATGAGTGTACTCCGTCCACGTCCTTTACACTGACCAGACAGACTTCAGGCATTAAACTTTTTCCTGGGACACACAGCCAGGCGTTACTGCATCCAGACTCGAATCTAAGTCTCCCCTTGCGAAGTCGTGTTCTGATGTAGAGGGATCATTTCCCCACTTTATGGGTGAGGAAGATTTGGTGACCCAGAGCTGCTGCTGGGGAGCTCATGGGCCAGAAGCCCAAGGTGAGCTTCAGGCCCTGGGGGTGCTGAGCAGTGGGTGGGGGACAGTGGCTGGTTTCCCTTCTGGCTGTTGTTTTTCCTGGCCTTCCTTGCACACTGCCAAGCGGTCTGTACTGTGCTGGGTCTGGGCCCAGGCCGAGGGCAGAGCTGGGGAGGGCTCTCTTCCCTTCTAGCAGGAGGAGGCACCACGGTCATTTCCGATACTGGCAGGCATAGGATGCTGGGCTGTCTGCCCTGCACGTGGGCCCTGTTGCCCAAGCCTTCGTGCCCCTGGAGGAGCCCCATTATGCTGGCTCCTCAGCCAAACTCCTAAGCTCTCCATCCTCACTTACTGTGTGTGACCTCAAGGAGCAAGTCACTCTACCCTGGGCCTCAGTTTCCCTGTCAGTAAAATGGGGACAGTGTTAGGGTGGGGATGCACAATTGGGGCACCTGATAGGCATGTAACAAATGACAGCCCCCAGCCTAGCTAGCAGTGCATACTGGTTACAGTTTTACAACTCAGGAGCCTTTCTTATTCCCCTGGAGCCCCTTCCTGATCTATCATGCCCAGCCAGCAGGGGACAGGAAAGAGGGCATCTTCCTGGAGTTGGAGTGCGTAGGCTGCAGAGGCCTGGAGCTAGGCCTGGGAGTGCAGCCCTGTGAGCTCCCTCAGTGGGGGTGACATGGACTCCTGCCCAGCTCTTGTCATTTCAGCGTGTTCTACATCCCAGACAGCTGGAAAGAGGCCTGGGGCTGCTGTGGCCTCCCACAAGCAGTGCCCTCTCTGACATCAGCTCCTCAGCAGCAGCCTTTGCTCACCCGGCACTCAACGGTGGCAGGCCTCACGCCGAGGCTTCGCAGCACACACTGATCTGACCCTCCTGTTAGTCCCATTACTGCTGCACCCATTCTACAGCTCAGGGGCTAGAGGCCCGGAGCTGCGGCATGACTTACCCAGGATCGCACGCTGCCCATCTTGCTCTGCGTGGGCTTCCCCAGCTCATGCTTTTCTTGAAGATGAGCTCTGGCCCCCCATAGTCCCTTATGAGGATGGTCCCAGAGCTGGCTGGGCCCAGGACTAGGAAACATTCAAATGAATGCTTCAGATGCTTGCCAGCAACTCGAGTCCCAAGCGAATGAACAGCTGTTCCTAAGAACAGACAGGACTGTGACAGCTTTGGGGAACATGCAGTTCCTAGGTTTGTTCCCTCCTGGATGCATGACCCTTGGTGAGTCCCTCTGTGCCTCGGTTTCCTCATCTGCTAGCTGGGGATGGTAAGCTTGGAGTCTGCCTCCCTTCAGTTGCTCTGCAGGGACAGTCAGTGGGACATGCTGTGGGGGGTTGTCATCCAAGCTGGCTCCCCACAGCCTGCTCACACCCTCCTCACCCTACTCTACCCCCAACAGGTCTCCAAGGACATCTCCATGCGGCTGCACAAGGAGCTCGAGGTGGTAGAGAAGAAGCGGGCGCGGCTGGAGGAGGAGAACGAGGAGCTTCGGCAGCGGCTGATCGAGACCGAGCTGGCCAAGCAGGTGCTGCAGACGGAGCTGGAACGACCGAGAGAGGTGAGAGCGTTCTGCCTGGGGTTGTTCTTTCTTTCATTCTCCAGCACGATTTCCTGAGAACCTGCTTTGTCCTCTGTGCTGGACAGTAAAGAGCCAGCAGTGGACCATATGCACCTGGTTCTGTCTTCGAAGAGCTAAATGAGGGAGTCACCCCCAAAGAACTTCAGCTTCTGGAGAATTTGTGAAGAACACGTGCAGCAGTGTCCCGGATGGAGCTCTGCCCTCTGTGCGTCAGGTTCCTGACCTGTGAAATGGGCAGTGGTGCTCTAGTCACTGTGAGGGCCAAGAGGGCCAGTGTGGAGAAGCCCTAGGAACTGCCAGGCACTGCCCCAGCTGTCAGATGAGTGTGGGCCTGGGCCTCCAGTGTGTTTCTGGGCACAGATGCTTCCTGAATGTGACCCCAGGCACTGTCCTGGCTCACGCCGGATACTTCTCCTGGTACACTGTGGTCTTCCTGCTGTATGTTAGGAACCACTCTCAGTAGTTCATCTCCAGCCGCCCCTGAGAGAGGGAGGCTGGAATCCTCCTGATCCAGCGTCTGCATTTATGCCAGCTGGGTGGGCTCTGGCCCTGGAGGCATAGCTCAGCCTTGGCTGATTGGCTGCTTGGGAGCTGACTTAGGCCGCTATGTTCTTCTGGGCCACACTCAGCATGGTAGCTTTCCCCAGAGGGCACATAGGACAGCAGCCCAAGCCAGGGATGCCTCAGCTCCGGGCACAGAGCAGGCCCTTAGCCACCCTTCCCGAGCTGGGTGTGTTGGTGTGACGTGCTGCTGCCTGTTGCCTTGCTTCAAACAGTCCTATTGCTGCCACCCTTGATGGTGAAAAGGGGAGACAGTTTTATTTTTATTTTTTAACTTTTTTATTAGTACATATTTGTCATACATAGGGATCACATTTACTGTAGGGAATTTGTACCTGTGTATATCTTAATTCTTTTTTTGTTCTTATTCCCCTCCCCTCCCTTCAACCCTTCTTCCTGGGGTTTTAGAAAGTATCTTAGGGTTCAGCCTGTTTTGTTTTGTTTTTTTTTTTTTTCGGAACTGGGGATTGAACTCAGGTCCTTGCGCTTCCTAGGCAAGCGCTTATTCTACTGAGCTATCTCCCTGGCCCCTCTGTTCCTCTTATATAGGTGGGAAAACAGGCCCAGCAAGGAGTAGATTACACAACCTTTCCTTAGTGGAGAAGTGGCAGCAACCTTGATGCTACTTCTCCTCTTCAAGTCTTTCTTCCTTTGTGATGTCAGGGTAGTAACTATCCAACTTTATGAGGTTGTTTGGACCTCAATTCTTGCATAGAATTGAGTAATCAGACAGGCTGGAGGTGTAGCCCAGTGGTACAGAGCTTGCCTATGAAGCTTCCAGTTTTTGTTCTGTTTAGTTTTTGCCAGTGTCCTGATGTCAGATGGCCTTGGACTCAGGGCTCAGGTGGTCCTCTTGCCTTAGCCTTCTATCTGTTTGGAACTATACTTGCCCAACTAGAGCGTGTACTAGAGTTAGTCCCTAGATTTAGTCTTCTGAACATGAAAAGAAAAGGATGATTAATCATAGTTGACTACGGGCTTGGGAGATAGCTCAGGGGTCTAAGTGCCTGCCTGGCAAGCATAAGGACCTGGGTTCGATCCCCATTACCACATGCCGTGCTGGCCCTAGAACCAGGCATGGTGGAGCATACCTGTAATCCCAGCACTGGGAAGATTGAAGCAGGAAGATCACTATGAGTCCACGCTGTGTTCTAAGACCCTGTACCAAATAAAAAAAGAAAATATTTTTTTAAAAAGACTATGAAAATGTTAAAAAGAATAAGGTAGGGGCTGGGGAGATGGCTCAGTAGAATAAGTGCTTTCCTGGCAAGCGCAAGGGTCTGAGTTCAATCCCTGGTTCCACCAAAAAAAAAAAAAAAAGGTAGTATTGCAGTGCTTAAAAAAATTAAACATAAAGAATTAACCATAAAATTAAACATAGAGTTCTAATTCTGGGTATATACCCCAATGTGGAAGCAGAGACGAAGAGATGTTGCACCCCCATGATCCTTCAGCAGATGAAGGATAAATGAAGTGTGTTTATTTTATTTATATTTTAGGAAAGGGTCTACAGGGTGTTCAGGGTCTCACTACTAGGTCAGACACATAGTGATCCGCCTGTTTACAGCCTCCTAAGAGCTGGGATTATAGGTGCGCCACTCAATTGCCTTCTCAGTGGGCCCTGGGGGCAGGGCCAGCGCGACATGGTGGGGGAGGATCTCCGATCCCCGCCCCTGCTCTTGCTTGCAGGCGCTTTAATCCGCAGAGCTATTTGGCTGGCCCTTGAAGTGTGTGTTTATGTACAGTGGACTGTCGATCACCCTGAAGAGTGAACAAAGTAAGGATGAGGTTTGGAAACATTAGGCTGAGCAAAATAAGCAAGACAGAAGCACAAATGTGTGATCCCACCTAGAGAATGTAAGTGGAATAGTTACATTTAGAGACACAGAAAGAGACTACCAGGCCTGCAGGGGGAGGAGTGAGTGAAGACTTGTTTAATAAGTATAGACTTTCAGTTTGGGGTTAGGAAGAGTTTCTGGAGACAAGTAGTGGTGATGGTTGCAAATTGTGAATGTTCTTAGACCACAAAGCTGTGTACTTAAAAATGGTTAAGTCTGGAGGTGCGGTTCAGCGGTAGATGGAGCACCACGCAGTTAGCATATGCAAAACCTAAGCTTCCCTCTCTGACTAAAAGCAACAAGGACAAAGGTTAAAAGCAGTAAATTTCCTGTCATAGATGTCTTACTAGCAGAAAAAAGTGGCAACAATAATGAATTTTATGTTGTACTGTACAGTATATTCTTTACTACATTAAAAGAAAATATTTGTGTTCTGATGCAGAAAGATACCCAAGGTGCACTTTCAAGAGGAGAAGGAAGTTATAAAACTGTATGCATTATGTTATTTTTTATTTTTTTTTAAATTATTTATTTGTGTGTGTGTGTGTGTGTGTGTGTGTGTGTGGCCAGCTCAGCCCACCAGGGGGCGGGGCTGGCTGGCATGTGGCCCTGGGGGATTGAACCGTGGTCCCTGTGCTTTGCTGAGTTTGTTCTAAGTAGGTGCTTTAGACCACTGAGCCATCTCACCAGCCCTGCATTATGTTATGATACTAGTTATTTGAAAAGCTATGTGCGCAGTGTGGTTTTGAAGCATGCGTGTCTGTGCATGGAGGCATGCAGGAGTCTGGAGGAAGACCTACTTCCTGAGGAGTTAAAATTGGTGGAGTAGAAGAGAGAGTGACTTCTGCATTTTTTATTTTTATTTCTTTATTTACTGAGACAAGGTCTTGCTGTGTAGTTCAGCTGGCTTTGAACTCACTCTAGCCTAGGCTGGGCTTGAACTCTCAGCTGTCTTCCTGCCTCAGTCTCCCAAGTGCTGAGATTTCATGGCATGCAGTACCACACCTGGCAACTTCTGTTTTTGTTCTATTAATTTTGTTTTTGGCTTTTTTTTTTTTTTTTTTTTTGGAACTGGGGATTGAACTCAGGTCTTTGCGCTTGCCCAGGAAGCACTTATTCCACTGAGCCATCTCCCCGGCCCTGTTTTTGACTTTTTGTAGTATCGGGAATTGAACGTGGGGTCTTTTGGCATTCATCCCCAGCTCAAGTTAGATGTTTTTTCTTTTCTTTTTTTTTTTAAATCAGTTGTTTTTTTAAAAAATTTTATTTATTTATTTGTGTGTGTGTGTGTGTGTGTGTGTGTGTGTGTGTGTGTGTGTGGCCAGCCAGGGGACTGGGCTGGCTGGCATGTGGTGCTGGGGGATCGAACTGCAGTCCCTGTACTTTGCTAATCTTGTTCCAAGTAGGTGCTTTAGACCACTGAGCCATCTCACCAGCCCCTTTATTTTCAAATTTATTTATTCCAAGTTAGATTTTTTAATAATAAGAGTATACTTAGGACAGGCATAGTGTGCCTCTAATCTCAACTATGAGGGGTGGGCTGGGACAAGAGGATGGCTTGGGCCCAAGAGCTCAAGGCCAGCCTGAGCAACATAATGAAATCTCATTTCAAAAACAGAAAAGGTGAGCATAGTGGTATAGGCCTATAATTCCAGCACTCTGGGTGGCTGAGGCAGGAGGATTGAAAATTCAAACTCAGGATGGGAAATTAGTGACGTAGTGAAACCCTAGTTGGAGGGTATGTATGTAGCTCAGTGAGAAGGCTCTGGACTCAGTCCCCAGTACTGAAAAGGAAGGAAGGCCAGGCATCGTGGTGTACACCTGTAGACCTAGCACTCAGGAGGCTGAGGCCAGAGGATAACTGTGAATCTGAGGCCAGCCTGGGCTACATAAGTGAGTTCAAGGCCAGTCTGGACTATATGGTGAGACCCTGTTGATAGAAAAAGGAAGGAAGGAAGGAAGGAAGGAAGGAAGGAAGGAAGGAAGGAAGGAAGGAACTTGGCATTGGAATTTAAAATTTTAACTGAAGATTCCTGTCTGGAGCCTGGCCCTGAGTAGATGCTGAAGAAACCCTGGTTCACTCTCCCTCAGATGTGGAGGAGGCTGGTCTAATCCTTCTGATGTACTCATGGCATCCTGGAACTATGTGCAGGAGACTAGAGCCTGTGTTTGTTTGCCATTTGTCCTCTCTTCCTCCCTCTCCTCCCTGACACGGTTTCCTTGGCGACAAGGGTCTTTCAGTGGTGGAGCTGCAGTCCCATCATCGAGATCTGCTCTTGCTATCCTGACAGGTTGCTGAGGTGATGTTATCACCCGACGGGGAACGGGAGCCCCTGGCCTGAGCTGATGTGGTTGCCATGGAGACGGCTCTTGGCAAGCAGGAAGGGAGGCGGCATGCCCTCACGGAGCTCTGCTGTGGCACTGTGGCCCAGCTGGGCTGCTGCTCAGGAATTGTAACACCAGCCTCTCCTGGCCAATCTCATTCCCCATCCTGATATTTCAGGCAGAAAGCCAGGGTCCGTGTTGATGTGATCTGTAAGGTAGCTGCCGCGTCTGAGCTGCAGCCGGTATCAGGCCCGG